TACCCATGAACCTCCAAGTAGATCAACCCTACCGCTCGATGGTCGCCCTCGATGCTTCTTGGCACATATGCAGACTTGCTCAGTTCCTGCTGCTTAGATACAAGCAGACTGCTAAGCCGGAAAGCAGGGTGAACCCCGAATCCTACACAACAGTGCCTCAATAACATCGATTGTGGTGAGAGGCCATGCGAGTGCTGCTCTAAGTTGGACTCCCTCTCCGGGTCTGTATCGTAGATAAGGGTGACCTACTTTGTATCCGCGTGGCGAGCCAAAAATACGCCACCTAATTCGGACCGATCACCCTATATCCTACCTTAAGAACCCAAAACCCACTTTTTTGTAGGTTCTTATGATAAACCCTAATATGGGATTTATAGGGACCCTACAAAAAAATAGGTTTTGGGTTCTCAAGGTACAACTCCAAAAAGGCGGGTGTTGACAGGGCGAGGCTCCGCGTCCGCACGCTGGATGCTCAACTCGAGGTGGCCCAGGCTGCAGGTGGCCATCTGGTTGGAGCTCGCCAGCGACTGCAGGGGGACGGTTTAGGGTTTAGGGTTTAGGGTTTAGGGTTTAGGCGGGGACACAGCGAGACTCCCAAAACCCCCTAATTCCGTAACATACCTTACATGACAGTGTGGGTTCTCGTCTATAGCTGAATGTCTATTCCTTACTTAAGGGATGTTGCAGTCTCTGGGCAGTGCACCCTTGACCCGAAGCTCTAACATCCCAAGCCCGGTAAACCGTATATAGGCCCCAGAACCTCCGAACCGTAGCCATAGAAAGCCAAATCCCGGACCAGACCACTTGCCCAACAACCCTGAACCCTAAACCCCAAACCCCAAACCCTAAACCCTAAACCAAAACCCTAAACCCCAAACCTCATACACCCTAAAAGCGCAGAGCCTCAGCCCTACAAAGCCTTAACCCCAGACCCTAAGCCCTCTAAGCCTTAGCTGAACCCCTAAACCCCAGAGCCTCCTCAACCCTGTAACCCCTGAACCCCACACCCTACACCCAAGCTGTCCATTTCCCCTAAACCTTACGCCCCAAACTCTAAACCTAAACCCCAAACCCTAACCCTAAAACCCTAAAACCCTAAAACCCTAAAACCCCAAAACCCTGAAAGCCCTAAACCCTAAACCCTAAACCCTAAACCCTAAACCCAGTTTCCAGCACCTTCAAGGCCGAGGCGTGCCAGATGTGAAAGAGACCTTGGCGGTACGGTTGATGATATAAACCCAGCATTACCCATAGTAGTTTAAGGCTTAGGGTTTAGGGTTTAGAGTCTACCTTATAACGTAATGCAGGATTTCTATCATCGACAGTATCTCCGCTCACTGAGCTAGTTGCCGAACGAAGCCCTTAACCGTAAGTCCCTGAACTCTAAACCCCTATATAAGCCCTAAAACCCTAAACCCAAGCCCTCAACCCCTAAACCCTCAACCCTGAAACCCTAAAACCCTAAATCCAAAAACCCAAAAACCCCAAAACCCCCCAAACCCTCATGAGCGCCAAAGAGCCCTAAAGCCCCCCATGAGCCCCAAAGAGCCCTAAAGCCCCCCTAAACCCCAAACCCTGAACCCTAATGAGCCCCAATGAGCCCTAAAGCCCCCAACCCTCATGAGCCCTACAGAGCCCTGAAGCCCCCATACCCTAAACCCTAAACCCTAAACCCTAAACCCGAAACCCTAAACCCTAAACCCTAAACCCGAAACCCTAAACCCTAAACCCTAAACCATGAGTCTTGGGAAAGAGGCCACAGCCAGATGCATAGCCTTTTGGCTCGCTCCTGGGCTCTGCAGATCGGAGTTGCGGGGTTTGTCTTTAGGAGTTAGGAGTTTAGGGTGTAGGGGTTTAGGGTTCTAGGGTTTAGGGTTCAGCGAGTTAGGAGTTTAGGGTTTAGGGGTTTAGGGGTTTAGGGTTCTAGGGTTTAGGGTTCTAGGGTTTAGGGTTCTAGGGTTTAGGGTTTAGGTGTTTAGGTTCTAGGGTTTAGCGGTTTAGGGTTTAGCGGTTTAGGGTCTAGGGGTTAGCGGTGTTAGGGTTTAGGGCCTTAGAGGTTTAATCTGGATTTTTTGATTTGTGGTTTAGGGCCTGTCAAGTGGAAGATAGGGTCCAGGGTTCAGGGTGGTTAGGGACTTTAGGGTAAACCCTAAGCACTAAACCCGCCTTTAGGGTTGGTTTAGGGTCTTTAGGGCTTTGAAGGCTTTTGGGGCTTTGAAGGTTTCGGGCTGCTAAAGTCTTTGGGGTTCAGGGTTCGAGCTTTTAGAATGCTTTAGACGGTTCGAAGAAAAGACTCTCAAGCATCGGCTTCAAAGCTCGACAAGGCTGTTTCGAAGAAGGGTTTAGGGGCTTAGGATTTTGATTCGAATCTGTCCTCAGAACAACGGCACTTGAAACATCACGCCGGTGGCTTTCAGATTTCAGAGCTTTGTGCGGTGTGAAGCCCGAGAATTTCGGGGTAGTAGGTCTTCGGTGCCGGGGGTTTAGGGTTCAGCGGTTCAGCTACGTTATGGACTCCAAAACCCCTTAAGTAAGGTATATACCTTGAATCATATTAGGGATCCTATTCTAGTTTAAGGTATCTTCCTTAATTCCCTTATGGAACCCTTATAGATCCCTTTAAGGAACCCCTATAAGGTATTTTCCTTAATTAAGGGGTTTTGGAGTCTCTGGGTACTTTATGGACAAGAGTCTGCAGCTTCTGGCCTGCTGCCGTGACCGTTGGTGGGGATTGCTACGGACATAGGCAAGGATGTTCAGGGTTTAGGGCGTCTAGGGTTTAGGGTTTAGGGTTTAGGGTTTAGGGTGGAGGGCATTTAGGGTTTAGGGTGGAGGGTGTAGGGTTTAGGGCGTTTAGGGTTTAGGGTTTAAGGGGTAGGGTTTAGGGTGTAGGGTTTAAGGTTATTACAGCACAAGACAATCCATGTCCATTCAAACGAAAAAAACTGACGCGCCTCAACAACCGAAAGTTGCTGTTTGAAAGACGAAACTTCATTGCAGCACCCCACTCCCCGTCCCAATCGGCACCCCAAAATAAATCCCAAGCAAGAGGATCCGAGCAGATAAAGGGCCCCATACAAGGCAAACGCAAACCCACAAAAGGGAGCTGTTCCCTTAACCCTAAACCCGAAACCTAAAGGGCACCACAAGGAAACCCTGCTATTTACTATCTCTCCCTACCCTACTAACCCTCAAGTGTCCTACCCTTAAGGACGAAATGACCCTGAAAAGCAGGGGCCCTATACCCTTATACTATGAATTCCTATATGGTATATGAACCTTACTTGAACCCTTTCACGGTTCATTTCGTCCTTGAGGATTATAAGATTAGATATCTATTCGTCCATTCTGGTACCTTCAAGTAGGCTCTTGAGTCAGACAACCCTAAACCCTCCCCAAAATAGTACGACACCCTTATAAATCGGACCATAATTTAGAAAACTCCCCAATTATTTAGGCCCCTAAACCCTA